TTGTTGTTGTTAGGTTCCATCAAATCAGTACTGACTCATAACAACCTTACGCACAACAGAATGAAACACCGCCCTTTCCTGCACCAACCTCACAATCGTTGCTACACTGGAGCCCATTTTTGCTGCCACTGTACCAATCTATCTCATTGGAGATCTTCCTCTTTTTCACTGACCATCCAGTTTACCAAGCATGATGTCCTTCTCCAGGGACTGGCCCCTCCTGATGATATGTGTGAAGTATAAGAAATGAAGTCTGGCCATCCTGGTTTCTAAGGAGCATTCTGGCTGTACTTCTTCTAACACAGATTTCATTGTTCTTCTGGTGGTCTGTAGTACTTTTAATACTGTCTTCCAACACCATAACTCAAATGCATCAGTTTTCTGGTCTGCTTTATTCATTGCCCAACTTTCACATGCAGATGAGCTTATTGGAAATATCATGACTTGGGTCAGTTTCACCTTAGTCTTCAAACTGGAAAAACATTAGTCTTCAAACTTAGTCCTCAGAAAGGAAGGGCATTATATAATAATTTAAGGGTCAATCCAACAAGAGGACATACTCCTAAAAAATATCTATACAGCCAATGAAAGTACTCCAAAATACACTATGTTTTAACATAATTGAAAAGATAGACAACTCCACAACAAAAGCAGGAAATTTTAACACATCACTTTCAAAGAAGGACAGAACAACTAGAAAGAAACTCAGCAAAGATATCAACAACACAACCAAACAACCTGACCTGATAGATGCAAACAGAACATTCCATACAACAACTATATAGTATACATTCTTTTTCAGTGTGCATGGATCATTTTACAAAATAGATCATAAGTTAGGTCATAAAGCAAACCTCAATAAATTTTAAAACATCAAAATAGTACAAAGCATCTTTTCAGATCATAATACTATAAAATTAGAAATCAGCAACAGGAAAAGCAGAATGGGAGGGAGGAGAATCAAATACATGGAAACAGAATAACAATGTTGTTGTTGTTGTTGTTAACCATCAAGTTGGTTTCAACTTATAGTGTGTTATAGGGTTTCCAAGGAATAGCTGGTAAATTTAAACCACCAGCCTTGCAGTTAAAACTGACCTTGTGATCCAGTGTTTTATCCTACAGCACTGCACCAGGACTCCAACTGGGCAACAGATGAAATGAAAAATGAAAAAAAATTAATAGAATCAAACAAGAATGAAAACAATATTCCATAATCATTGAGAGACAGCAAAAGCAGTGTTCAGAGGGCAATTTATAGCAATACACACATAAAAAAAGAGGAAAGATCCAAAATTACCATCTTAATACAGCATCTCCAACAATTTGAAAAGGAACAGCAAAAACCTATAGTCATCAGAATAAAGGAAATAATAAAAATTAGATGAGAAATAAATGAAACTAAAAAACAATAGAAACAAGACTAGACGATGGTTCTTTGAAAGGGTTAATAAAATCGACAAACCACTGGCAAATTTAACAAAGGAGACGCTACAAGTAACAAGAATAACAAATAGAAATGGATTATGTTACAACAGAATTAACTGAAATAAAAAGAAGAACAGAATACTATGAAGAACTGTACTCAAACAAATTTGAAGACCTAAAAGAAATGAACAGATTTCTGGAAACACACTATCTACCTAAATTAACTCACACGGACATAGAAAATTTGAGCAGACCCGTAACAAAAGAAGATATTGAGTGTGTCATTAAAAAAAGACTCCCAACAATATAAAAAAAAACTCCTGGCCCAGTAAGCTTTACAAGAGAATGCGACAAACATTCAGAAAAGAGCTGACATCAATCTTTCTCAAACTGTTCCAGAACACAGAACAGGATGGAACACTCCCGGATTCATTCTATGAAACCAGCATAACCCTGATACCAAACCCAGGTAAAGAAACAGAAAGTTATATACCTGTAGCCCTCGAGAATATCGATACAAAAATTCTCAACAAAATCATAGCCAATAGAATCCAACACCATATCAAAAAAATAATACATCATGACCAAGTGGGATCATACCAGTTATGTGAGGACAGTTCAACATTGGAAAGCAATATAATACCCAACGTAAATAAAACAAAAGAACCACATGATCATATCCATCTATGCAGAAGACACATTTGACTAAATCTAACACCCTTTCTTGTAAAAACTCTTAGCAAATAGGAATGAAAGGGAAATTCCTCAATGTATTTAAAAGTGCTGGTAGCATAGTGGTTATGAATCGGGCTGTGAACCGCAAGGTCAGCAGTTCAAAACTACCAGCTGCTCTGCAGGAGAAAGATGAGGCTTTCTGCTCCCATAAAGATTTACAGCCTCGGAAACCCTGTACAGGGTTGCTATGGGTCGGAACTGACTCGATGGCACTTAACAACAACAACAACCCAATCTGTGGATCATCACTGGGCTGCAAACCACAAGGTTGGCAGTTCAAACCTACCAGCTGTTCCTCAGAAACCCTATATAGAGTCCCCATGAGTCAGAACCAGCTTGATGGCACTTAACAACAACCCAGTGGAGTCTGAAAGTAGTCCCCTTGAAAAATGGAAAACAGACAGGATGCTTTACCACTACTCTTATTAAATATTGTGCTGGAAGTCCTACTCAAAGCAATAAGGTCAGAAAGGGAAATAAAAGGCATCCGTATTGGTAAGTAAGAAAAAAAAGATTCCTATTTGCAGTTGAGATAATCCTACACATAGAAAACCCCAGAGATTCTGTAAAACTAAACTTCAGCAAGGTGGCAGGGTGCTAGAGCAATATACAAAAATCAGTCAGATTCCTCTACACTAACAAAAGAACTGTGACAGGGATATCAGAGAAAAGAAGACCATTTACAATGTTGTTGTTAAGTGCTGTCAAGTCCGTCCCAACTCATAGTGACCCTGTGAGTTTGAACCACCGACCTTGTGGTTCAAATTTAGAGGCCTAATTTCATGGTCTAAATAGTCTGTGAAACATAACTAAAAATTCACAAGCAGCAGAAGATAAGCTAGACAACTAGAACCCCCTAAAAATTCAATGTACATTCAAAAACTTCTCCAAAAGAGACCCTACAGACTAGGGAAAACTGTTGGCTATGACATATTTGACAAGGGACTAAGCCCTAAAATTTATAGAAAACTTCAATACCTTAGCAACAAAAAGACAAATAATACAGTTTTTAAATGGGCAGAGGACATAGCAGACACTTCCCCCGGAATACATTCAGGCACACAGTCATTAGCCATTAGATGTAAATCAAAACTCATCTCCCCCAATGATAATGGCACTAATCAAAACAAAATAACAAATGTTGGAGAGGTAGTGGGGAGATTGAAAATCATATACACTGTTGATATGAATGTAAAATGGTTTAATCACCGTAGAAAAAGGTATGACACTTCCTTAAAAACTTAGATATAGAGATACCATATGACTTAGAGATACCTCATTATCCTGAAATCCCACTACTATGTATATATCCTAGAGAAATTAAAGCCATAACACAAATAGATATATGCACACTCAAGTTCATTGCAGAATTTAGTCACAATGGCAAAAAGATGGAAACAATCTAAGTGCCAATTAATAGAAATCAGGATGAATGAAAACAAGGAACCAAAGGAAAATGGGGGGAAATACTGTTACACTGAGTGGGTTGCAACTAATATCATGAAACAAAATGGCGTAAATGAAACACAAATTTGCTTTGTAAATTTTCACCCAAACTACAATAAAATGTTCAAAAAAAAGAAAGAAAGAAAGGCAATCATGCACAAAGTGGTGGGAGCTGATCTTGATAGTTCCTCTGAAGAGGCGGCATTTGAACAGAGACCCAAATAAAGCCAGGGGGTCAAGCATATGAATGTCTGGGCAAAGAGCCTTCTCGAGAAGGATAACTTTAGACGTTGTAAGTAAATTATTTACAGTTAATTATATATGCTGTTGTTGTTAAGTGATATTAAGTCAGTTCCAACTCATAGCAACCCACTTTTCCAATGAGTGGTTGATGGGTTTAAACCACTACTCCATGGTGGGTTTAAACTACCAACCTTGTGGTTAGCAGTCCAGTAATTAGCCTGCAGTGCCACACTAGGATCCCAGTGATATAGATATAGATAGATAGATAGATAGATAGATAGATAGATAGATAGATAGATATGTATTATTGTTGTTGTGAAGTGCCATTGAGTCAATTCCAACCCATAGCGACCCTGTATAGGGTTTCCAAGGAGCAGCTGGTGAGCTTGAACCACCGATCTTGTAGTTCAAACGACTTTGCAGTCTGACACATTAGCCCGCAGCGCCACACCAGGACTGCATTATATATATTAAGCATGTGTAATAAAATATCACTTGTAGCTTCGAACCCTCAAAAAAGAACTAAAAGAAAATTAACTCCAATAGGAAGCAGCAAAGAAGAGGAGGAAAAGAATGCCCTCAAAGGCAGTTTTTAACAGAAAACAAAGCAATGTGACTAGAAAAATTCCAAATACATCACAAATCACAAATATAAATAACTCATAAATAAAATTAGTGAAGACAGATTTCCATAAAGAAATAAAATCCAGTGTGGGATAAAGCACTGGTCCATAAGGTTGGTTCAAACTCATCAGCCACTGCTTGGAAACCCTATGCAGGGTCACTATGAGTTGGAGACAACTCGATGGCACTTAATGATAGCAACAACATTCTTAGCCACATAAATTAAACTGTTTCCATTTTTTTTGCTGTTGTGATTAATGCTGCAATGAACTTGAGTGTGCATATATCTATTTGTCCTGTCATCATTGTCATTAATTGCCATCTAGTCAGTTCCAACTCATAGCGATCCTGTATAGGGTTTCCAAGGACCTCATGGTTAACAGTTCAATGCTTATCCTACCACGCCACAATGGTATATCATAGAGTACTGTACTTAAGTCAGTTAATTGCCCTGTGTAATTATATGAGAAGTAATTTTCAAAATGTGACTTTTGATTGTCATTTTGCTTTGTTCTAATGCTTAGCTGTTATTGGACCTCCTGAATTGCAAGTAGAAGCACTTGCTGATTCTATACATGTGCGTTTCTTAGCCCCCAGAGTTGTAAATGAGTTTGGAATATGGACCATGAAGAATATGTATAGTTCAATGGTTTATAATGTGCAATATTGGAAAAATGGCACCGATAAAAAGGTAAGTTCTGGTAATCGTATGCATTTTTTATGGTGGTTCCTATGTTCTTTGTAAAGTTTTGGTTTGAGGCCATGATGTTGTAGAGAGGAGGCAAGGTGTCTGTGTGACATCAGATCTTTGTGACCCAGAGGATCTAAGGTCTGGTTCTCTGAAAGCCAGAAATTCCCCAATCTGAAGGATGATCTGTATCTCTTGCTCAGGCTTTCTGGAGCCCAAAGGAAAATTCATGGAGCAAACTTCTTGGCTGCTAGGACAATAAAAAACATAGCTTTCTTTCCCATAGGAAAAGTTGCAGGAAAAGGCAGAGCAGATTCAATCAACAGTTGGCACTAAGAGCTTAGCATCCTACCACTAACCTGGATGTCCCATATACACCACAGACCAGTCAACCGTAGTTACTTCAGTTGTCGAGGCTGACATTCTTCCCTCGCATCATCTTTGAGATCTTCCTTACTTTCCATAAAACATTTGATCCTTCTAAAAACTGTTGTTTTGTGTAGGGCAGCATTCCTCTAAACTTGTTGCAAAGCTCCATTAATTTAGGAAGATGTCCACTTGAGTTGTTCAAAATTTTATATTAGCACTGACCTCAACATTATTTTTTTCCTTAAAACAAAAAGTGCCCTTTTCTGAAGGCACCATAATGAGACTAAGACAAGTGTATTGCTGAGAGAACTTATCTCCAGCCATCCTCTGATTGCAAAGACATGTCTAAGCACCTTTAAAATAATAAATCTGTACATGTATGAACTAGTAAGCAATACTTTATAACTCATCCTTTGTGTGTGTATGAGGGGTCTTCAAAAAAATGTGGAAAAATGGAATTAAAAGACAAAAATAGAATATATAAACTTCATATCTCAACATAAATTCCATTAAGGTGAAGATATTTTTGTAAGCAATGATACCAGCCATTTAGTCCATCCATAAAGAACTGAGGGTCCTGGAAATTTAGCCATGTCAATTTAGTCTTGGGAGGAGGGAATCACCCATATTTATTTTCTTAGCAATGATGTAATTCCATTTATGAATACACACTATGTAGTCTTAAAAAGTCAGGTTCATTTTTCTCCCCTCCAAACTGGCCCGTTAGATGAAACAGGATATCTGTATTATCCCAGGAAATATGTGTCTGGTAAGAATTCTAGAATAATTAATTTCATAATCATATATCAATTCAGTATCTCTATTAAGCCCTGGGATGCAAAGAAAAGACAGGATTACTCCTCTGAAGGAGTTAATGGTGAACTCTGACTGAAGGTCTGATTCCACAGTTTTACCTGGACATCTCCTGTACCAAGCAAATGAAATTAAAAACCCATCTTTAACTTCTGATCTAGAATACACCCACAGCATGGGCATCTGTTTACACATTTGTTCTATTTGTTCTATCACTTTAGCCTCGATTGTGTGGAAGCCTTTGGTCTGATTTTCTGATTGCATGCCTACAGTGTTAACATTACTTGTTTATGGAGTTCCCTTCCAGAATGGAATTATTCCTAAGAGGGCATCATATTGGATCTGTAAGCTAGTAGTGTAGAAGGCTTTTGGAAATTTTGGTTCTTACTTATGGTAGATGGTGATAAGATAAAACCAGAAATTGCTCTGAATGAAGTAAGAGTAGGAAGGGAGACTCGAAAATGTGTCCCTTTACTTCTTTGATGCTGTCTTCCCTCTAGCCATTTATAGGTCAGCCTTTGAATTTAGTCTGAAAAAATAGCACTATACAGTTTTGGAAATACTATATGTCTATAAATGAATGGCTTAATGGTGAGGTCTTTTATTTGGCTTGTTTTTAATTTATTTATTAGAAGTTGTAGCTTATTCTTCATATAGGCAGAAGGTAGAATCCAATTCTTGCTCTCAACTTAAATTCTTATAGAGTCAAGATAACCCCAACCAAAAGAGAAAAATAATTACAGAAAGTAAAAATAAATATTCTAGAATTCAAGATGTATCAAAGACTTTTCACCAAAGAAAACATTCAAGTGGTTAACAAACATATAAAGAAATACTTATAATCATTAGCCATTGCTCTTGTTGTTGTTGTTGTTAAGTGCTGGCAAGTCAGTTCCAACTCATAGTGATCCTCTGTAGGGTTTCCGAGGAGTAGCTGATGGGTTTAAACCACCAACTTTGTGATTAGCAGTCTAGTGTTTATCCTACAGCTCCACGCCAGGAGTTCCATTAGCTGTTGTTGTTGTTGTTGTTAAGTGCCACTGAGTCTGTTTTGACTCATAAAAACCCTATATATGGTTTCCAAGGAGTGGTTAGTGAGTTTGAACTGCTGACCTTATGGTTCAAACCAACCTTGCAGTTCAGTGCTTTATCCCACAGCATCACACCATTGTTGTTGTTGTTAGGTGCCATCAAGTCAGTACCAACTCATAGGTACCCTATGTACAACAGAACAAAACACTGCCCCAGTCCTGGCCCAACCTTACAATTGTTGTCATGCTTGAGCCCATTGATGCTGCCACTCTGCCAATCCACCTCACTGGGGGTCTTCCTCTTTTTCTCTGACCCTCCACCTTACCAAACATGATCTCTTTCTCCAGTGACTGGTCCCTCCTGACAATATGTCCGAAGTATGAGAGATGAAGTTTAGCCATCCTGGCCTCCACCATTAGTGAGATACAAATCAAAATAATAATAATATATTGTCTCCAGTATTAATAATGATGCTCCAAAACACAGAAAACAACAAATGTTGACAAGGATGTGGAAAGACTGGGAGCCTTCATACACTGCTGGAAGGATTAATAAAATGGTGCAACCACTGTGGAAAACAATACGATGCTTTCTCAAAAAGTTGGAAATGGAAATACCATATGACCAAGTAGTCCCTCTACTTAGTATATGCCCAAGAGAAATAAGAGCTACAACATGAGTAGATATCTCTGCACATCCATGTTCATCACAGCACAATAGCAAAAAGATAGGATCAAACTAATGCTTATCAGGAGAAGAATGGATAAACTTAGAAACATGCACACAATGTAATACTATGCAACATTGAAGAATAGTGATTAATCTGTGAAACACCTTATAACATGGATGAATCGGGAGGATTTACTGAGTGAAATACATCAATCACAAAGGGACAAATATTGTATGAGACCACTATTGTAAAAAAAAATAAGAAAAGGTTTTCACACTAAAAGAAACATTCTTTGATAATTACTAGGGGTAGAAGGGAACAGGGAGTAAGTCACAACTCACTGTCTAGAGGGTAGACAGTGGGAAAGCTGAAGGGGAAGGAAATGTGTAACAAGTGGAAGGCTGGCAGAAGAAAGATGAGAGCAGGAGACGACATAGGAGTACAACAGTTAAAGGACACAGAGGTAAATTCTGTTATATACACGATCCTGCAATAACAGTGATCTGCAGGTAAATACGTGGATAGATGCACATATGGATAGATGCACAAGACTACATGTGTGAGAGGGAGAGAGGGAATATACCCACACATATATAAAAATCTGACAGGGGATATTTGTACGTGGGTATTTACCTTTGCTGAAAGCATATCCATTAATGTGGTGGAATATACAGGGGGCAAACTTATGAAAATGTCTTAGACATTACCAAACTTTTTGAGGTGATGAGATGCTGCACCTGGGGGCTCAGGACCATTGTCTTAAGGGGACACCATGGTCAATTGACAAAACATAGTCCGTGAAGACATTGTTCTACATAGATTCTACTTTGGTAATAGAGATTTTGTCGGTAAGTGCTGTCAAGTTGGTTCTGACTCATAGTGGCCCTGTATAGGATTTCTGAAGAGCAGCTGGTGAGTTTGAACCTATGGCCTTGCAATTTAAACTGACCTTGTGGTCCAGTTTTTATCCTACAGTATCACATAGGACTCACTATGTATATATATATATGTTTGTGTATATGTATATGTATATATATATATATATATATACACACACACACCTTTGTTGTTGTTAAGTGCTGTTGAGTCAATTCCAACTCATAGCAATATTGTATAGGATTTCTGAGGAGCAGCTGGTGAGTTTGAACCTGCAACCCTGAAGTTCAAACTGACCTCAAGGTTGAATGCATTTCCTACGGCGCAATGGTTTAACCTCACCAATTGCAGTCCCTTCAGTGTAATATCACTTACGCCACTTCTACTTCGTGTTTCTTCTTTCTTCCCCAATCTTTTGGAATTTTGTCCTTGGGTCAATGCTGCCCTTTTTTTTTTCTTTAAGATTTTATTGTGTACTGAGTGAAAGTTTACAGGACAAATCATCACTTTTACATTCAACAAATCATACACATGTTTCATCACAATAATTACATTCCCCTCCATGCATCATGAGTTAACAGTATTTCTCTCTGTTCACTTTAGCTCTTTAAAAAAACAAACACTCAGACATATGTAATGATTTATACTACCAAAAGGGACATTCTGCAATTCTGCCTCCTGGTCACCAGCTTCCAGTCCCTCTCTTCCCATGAATCTAGAATCCTCAGCGGCTCCCCCTCTCCATGTCCCCAACTCTGCCTCCATCTCTGGTGTAGCTGCTTCTCTGGATAAGGGCCCACATTCTGCTTGTGCTCCTCTCCCTTGATGGTCCCAGGGTCCTTTATTTCTGGACTGTAAAATTATCTGCTCCCCCATTTACATTACAAAACTTCTACCTTTACAATTGTGACAGTCACAATTAGTCATGGTAACAATTACTGACTATTGAATCATAAGAATCTTATTCCCATCTCTTTCAACCAGACCTATCTAGACAAGATGACAACTAATCAGTTGGTACTCTTTCTTCCCCCACACCCTCTTAAATTAAACTCCCTCTTGAAACCTTGTAAGCCAGTCATTTCGTGCCTTTATCACCCCATCATTTTAGGTAGCCAATGTCTAAGTTGCCCGTCCCTAGCTATCCTGTGTACAGAGGAGGTAGCATTGATACTTGATTCCACTGGCTGTAAGGCATCCCAACTTCGTAAATATTCCTTTATAAGTGGTTCAGAATTCTGGGACCATCCCCTCAGCCTGCTTGGCCCGGTATTCTGTGTTGTTGCTGACGTAGCTCCTCACTGAACTTCCACCTAATCCACCATCTTGTTTGTTCTCCAGTGCTGTCCTTTTGATCTCAAATATTTGGCCACATATACTTTGTTGTTGTTTTTAAGTGTCATTGAATCAGTCCCAACTCATAGCAACCCTCTATAGGGTTGTGGACTTGAAGGTCAACGAACTTGTTGTTCAGACCAACCTTGCATTAACCTACAGCGCAACACCAGAACTCCTACATATACCATAAAATGATCAAATATTTAAGATCTAAAGGACAGCATTTACTCCAGGACAAAATTCAGAAAGGTTGGGAAAGAAGGAAGAATGGAAACAAGAATCAAAGGGTAGAAGTGGAGTATGTGACGTTATGTTGAAGGGATTGCAATCATTGAGATGAAACCAAGTGTTAGACTTATTGACTGTCAAACTGATAATCTGCTCTGTAAATTCACAGTGAATTCCTTTGTTTTTTAAACTAACAATGCTTATTATAATTCATATGAGGTAGCAGGAAGGTTAAGGTTTGATATAAAACTCTAGCTTTGTCCAAGTGGCTCTGTTTACACCTGGGTAGGGCTCTCCCACATCAGACGCAACAGCTGCACCTAATCTATACCCCACTGTAGATGCAGGCCCGGACATACATGGCACAGACATCAGGGCAGTGGGGACAGCAGTTCTAGCAGGAGGTGCATTTGCACTCTGCAGGAGCCAGAGCCCACACAGGAGCCACCAGTGCCGTAGGAGCAGTTGGGGTCCATTTCGAGCAAGGCGTGTGAGATGGGAAGGCAGGTAGCAAGGAGAATAGTAGGCTGGTGGAAAGTATACTGTCAATAAAAAGTTATTTTACAAAGTATAAAAAATAAATATTTTACAATTACTTTCTGTTGAAGTCCTGTTGTGGCACTGTAGGATAAGTACTGGACTACTAACCACAAGGTTGGTGGTTCAGACCCATCAGCCACTTCTCGGAAACCCTGTACAAGGTAGCTGTGAGTTGGAACTGACTCAATAGCACTTAACAAAAGCACAACTTTCTGCTGAAATGTCTATTGATTCATACAACACATTTTACATAGGAAATAATCCAAGAAGATGGGTTATACAAAGCAGAATATAGCACCAGAATTGGAGGAAGACTCATTAGCAACCTATAATGTGCAGTTAACACTCCCTTGCTTGCTGAAAGCAAAAAGGACTTGAAGCAATTGCTGAAGAAGATCAAACAACAGCTTTCAGTATCGATTACATCTCAGCATAAAGGAAATAAAAATCCTCACAACTGGACCAATATGCAACATCACGATAAGTGGAGAAAGCTTTAGAGTTGTCAAGGATTTTGTTTTTCTTGTATCTACAACCAATGCCCATGAAAGCACCAGTCAAGACATTTGCATTGGGCAAATCCATTGTAAAAGATCTCTTTAGTGTAAAATGTTAAAAATCAAAGTTGTAACTTTGAGGGCTAAGGTGCATCTAACCCAAACCATGGTATTTTCAGTCACTTCATAGGCATGTGAAAGCTGGACAATGAATAAGGAAAACCAAAAAAGAACTGATGCATTTGAATTATAGTGTTGGTTAATAATATTAAATATACCATTATTTGCCAGAAGAATGAACAAATATGTCATGAAAGTACAGCTAGAATACTCCTTAGAAGCAAAGATGGAGAGATGTTATCTTTGGACATGTTATCTGGAGGAACCAGTCCCTAGAGATGAGCATCATGCTTAGAAAAGTCCTCAGTGGGATGGATTGACACAGTGGCTTCAGCAATGGACTCAAACATAGCAACAGTTGTGAAGATGGCACAAAACTAGATCATGTTTTGTCCTTTTATACATAGGGTTACTGTGAGTCAGAATCAACTCTATGACACCTAAGACAGACCTGGCAAGTTCACAGCCGTGAAAACCCTGTGGAGCAGTCTACCCTACACACAAGGGGTCACCATGATTCAGAATTGGTGTGACAGCAACTCATTTGTTTTTGGAGGGTTTTATTTTATTTTGACAGGAACTGTATTAGTTTTACTAATTCAGGAATTTGATATCAATTATGTTAACCTTATTAGCGCTGAGCTACAAACCACAAGGTCAGCAGTTCAAACCCACAAGCTGCTCCTTGGAAACCCAATACAGGATCCCTATGAGTCAGAACTAACTCAGTGGCACTTAGCAACAACAATAACAATATTCAAATTAAACTAAGATGAGTGACTTACACCAGACTTCAGAGGCAGCCTGGGTTCCTGCCCTGACAGGTGTGGTCGGATAACCCCATGGAGGTTAACCTAGACACCACAACTGGAGCAGTGATTCAGAGGAAAATTCTGAGCAGTCAGAATGAGAAGTGTGCTCTTGACCTTGTAAGAAAAATCACAGTGAGTCTTACTGGAAGTGAAATGGTATGCATGTTATGTTAGCCAGAGAATTCAGCAAAGGAGCAGGCTTGTTATACCACAGTTGCTCTTTACCCACCCCTTAGAATGATGTCAGTATCTCCTGCAGAGACTGAGAGGTGCTCCAGTCTCCTGCTCCTTCCTGTTGTGAACCTGAAGAAATGATGACTGCTAAATATGAGGTAAGACGAGAGTGTCCCTTGACTGCTGAGTCTTTTTTTATGGAAAAAAAAAAACAAACATTATTTTTGTTTTTGTTCCTAGTTTCAAATGATTGCTCCATATGACTTTGAGGTCCTCCGAAATCTGGAGCCATGGACAACTTACTGTATTCAAGCTCAAGGATTTCTTCACGATCAGAACAAAAGTGGGGAGTGGAGCCAGCCTGTCTGTGAGCAAACAACCAAAGATGGTGAGTCTTGAGACACAATCTGTATCTCAGCCTACTCTGAGCATTTTAAATAGATTCATAGACACTTTATGGAGTCCCAGTGTGGCACTGTAGGATAAACACTGGACTGCAAGGTCATTTGAATCACGAGGTTTGTGGTTCAAACTCCCCAGCTGCTCCTCAGAAACCCATAAAAGGTCGCTGTGAGTTGAAACTGATTCGATGGTACTGAACAATAACAATAACAACATAGACACTTTATAGGTGCTCTGGTAGCATAGTGTATTATGCATTGGTCTGCTAACTGCAAAGTCAGCTGTTCGAATCCAGTTCAAACCCACTAGCCACTCTATGGAAGAAAAATGAGGCTTTCTGCTCTCACAAAGATGGCCAGCCTTGGAAACAGTATACAGGGTCACTCTGAATGGGAACCGAATACATGACACTCAGCAGCAGCAGCAGATACTTTATAGGCATTTTAAGGTTGGAAGGCTTCGCAGGCCTCACTGTGTCCAGCTCAAATCCCAGTTTGAGAATTCATGTTGTTAGTTGCCATTGAGTCAGCTCTGACTCGTATTGACCTTATGTATAACAGAACAAAACATGGTTCAGTCCTCTGCTATCTCCATGGTATTGGTGTGTTTGCAACTATTGTCAAGTCTGTTGTGTCAGTCCATCTCACTGAAGATTTTCTTCATTTTTGCTGACCCTCTACTTACCAAACATGATGTCTTTCTCTAAAAAATTGGGTTTTCCTGATGACATGTCCAAAGCAGAGTCTCGTCATCCTGGCTTCTAAGGATCATTATGGTTGTATTTTTTCTAAGATGACAGGAATATTAAATGGAAAATAAGATGGATGGATGAGTAGAATCCAGGAACTTCTTTAAGACTTAGGATGTCGGGGGAAAACAAGCAAGGTGGCGGATCAGGTACCCGTGCAGTGAGGAGCTCCATCAGCAACAACACAGAATACTGGACCAAGCAGGCTCAGGATGGTGCCAAAACTCTGAATCACATGTAAAGGAATATTTAGAAGGTTGGATGGCTTACAGCTAGGGGCATTTGTAGCAGAAGCAAGAAATCCATTGCTTTCTAATTCAAGACTCTCAGCTGCTCCTAGAGCTGCCATCTTGGGAGAGACTGAGTCAGGGAAGGATCAGAGTAGCCACGGACGACTGACAGAACCACGGAGACATAGTTGTGGACATTCTTTTTTGGGGGGGATCTGTTCATTGGTCTCTCACTGTCTGTGCACCTCCATTCTGGTGACTAAAAGGGGTGCTTGAGCAAGTGGACACCCATCCCCAACCACAGACGGTTCTACTACACATGCATACAGATCTCCTCAAAATTTAAAGTGACAGTTTCCACTTGAAACCAAATGGCAGGGCAAAGCAACCACAGCTGGCCCTGAAGTGTTTATCAGTTGGAAAAAAGCCTGAAGGGTGTTGTGGAGCTGGACAGGCAGACTAAAAAGAAAATAGGCCAAAAATTAAATCCTGAGTTACGTCACAATGACCAACAGTGGCATCTTGAAATTTCTCAGGAAGAAGAGTGAAAAGAGAGCCCATCTCTTGATCACATCTACCTGGAGGCAACCAGAAAGCATAAAAAATACCAAAATATACACCCATCTAAGTATTAAGGCCACAGATAACTCCTGAATATTTCCAAAAAACAGAAACAGATGACCATATCAGCACATGTCCAGAAACTAGATAAAATGACTGAGACAAATGAGCTAGAAGTAGATCTACACTCCATACTGGAATATGGACAGGCTTTGGAAATGCCTGAGAAGGAATTCAGATAAATGATTATGAAATGTATCAAAACCCTATACAATGGAGTTGAGAAAAATAAGAAGTCAGGAAAGCGCTACAGGAACAATCAAATAAGATAGATACAGCATTGGAAACAATCCAAAACCTACAGGAAGAGGTCCAAATGATTAATAATAGAATATAAGAAATGGACAATATACTGAAAAGGCAAAGGAGTAGAATTGAAGAGATGGAATCCAGAACTAGTGAGCTAGAAGATAAATCTCTCAACACTACTAAGATAGAAGAGCAAACACAAAAAAGGCAAAAAAAAATCTGAAGAAGGCCTAAGATGTGTGTTGGACAACATGAAGAGGAATAACTTAAGAATTATTGGCATTCCAGAACAGGAAGAATCACACAGGTCCATAGAGAAGATAGTTGAAGAGCTTCTGGAAGAAAATTTTCCTAATATCCTGAAAAGTGAAAAGATAAGCATTCAAGAAGCTCAGTGAACCTTAGGAAGGATAACCCCTAATAGAATAGTCAAGCTCTTCAAAATCAGAGATAAGGACAGAATCCTGAAAGCAGCTAAGGAAAAGAGAAGTGTAACATACAAAGGCAAGCAAATCACATTAAGCTCAGATCTCTCAACAGAAACCGTGCAGGCAAGAAGGCAATGGGGAAACATATATAAAACCCTGAAAGAAAAAAACTGTCACCAGAGAATCCTCTACCCAGCATAGCTGTCAATCAACTACGATGTTGTAATCAAAACATTCCAAGATAAACAGAATCCAAGGGATTTTGCCAAAGCCAACTCTGCTATGAAAAGCATCCTAAAAGGAACTCCTGTGGACTAAAAACCAACAAGAACAGACAACTAGAGAATGATGTATGTGGCAACATCACCCTGAACTCAATCGACAAATGGAAGAGTCAAGAATAGAATAAAATTATAAGAACAGATCATCTGGGAGGTCAGTCTATGCTCAAAACAATTACATTGTGAAAGAAGGTAAACACAGAGGAACAGAGATCCAGGTGGTAATAAAATGTCAGGTCAAGTATAGTATAAAATAGACTGTATTAACTGGAGAGAAAAGTTAATGGAATATAATGTAACCACAACAGTGGGGTTAAGGTGGAGAGTTTAACTCGGGTGTTGGGGAGGGCAATACAAGAAGGGGGAGGAAGTGGAAGAAAAAGATAGATAGGGGAAAACTGAGAGAGGTTTGCATGACCTAAGTGGGACAGAGGTAAATAGTGATGCATGCTCAATCTTGAAACAACAGAGCTCTGTGATACAGGGATCTAGACATAGTTTGAAGAGGGGAAATAATACAAAAATGCTTTACTGTCCTATGAATATTGGTTTCCCTTGCCTACTATTGTAAAATAGACACTTGAGTGGGATACATAGGAATGTTGAGAATCATGATTACAGAAAACTTGTAAGCCCGTCTTCAGCATGACTGATTAGAATACTTAACAGGGTTTCTAGAACTTGCCCAGTGAAATAGGCCTCTTGCAAAGCCTTTTCAGTGTATAGGACCTTTGGTGGAATCCTGAGTTCCATCCAGAACCTTATGAGGTGGGACATTTCCACTAGCAAGGACAAGCAGACCAGCCTAGAACAGCTATAGCAACAGAAGATGCATCTTCAAAGAAAGATGATCAGGAAAAACCCAAGCAAAAATGTCAGCATGACTGGTTACTACAAGAATAAGGAAGCTGTTCACCAGGAATCCATCAAGGCAAGCAATCAACTTCCTTCAGGAAAAACTCCCCTCTAAGACTGAAACTCAAAGGGAACACATGAACAGGCATGTAAGCTTGCTGGTGACCACATTGGTCTACTAGTGAGTAGAAGAGGAGGAAAGGCAGCAATGAAGAAATGGACTGAGTTCAACCATAGTCCATTGACTCTCGTTGACCTGGAGATGAGAAAGAAAAGAGGAAGGGCTGGTTGGTCCAAAGTGTGGTAAGACCTAGGGACACTTGAGCCCATCGACAAGAACATAGCCAAAGAGAGCTAGAGCTGAGAGTGAAGCATCCAGCTGATATGAAGTGAGGGGAGATGCACAAGAACACCCAAACTTGCAGACAGTACCCTTTTGACCTAGCCTCGATGGCTCGAAAATCAGAACTTGACTAGAGGAAGATTACCAAAAAAAAAAAAATTTTGATAAGGGAAAATTGCTACAATTTGATGAACCTGACCAATACTCATGAAGGTAGCAACTCTAAATACCAACAGAGAGGGACGGAGTCTTCACATCAAGTATCAATGCTATTCCCTCTGTACACAGGGTAGATAGGAATGGACAACTTAGACTACCTAAAATGAGGGGGCAATAAAGGCACGAAGTGACTGGCTTACAAGGTTTCAAGAGGGAGTTTAGTTTAAGAGTGTGTGGGGGAAGAAAGAGTCCCCACTGAATAGTTTTCACCTTGTCTAGATGGGTCTGGTGAAAAGGATTGGGGTTAAGATTCATATGATTCAGCAGTGAATAATTGTTATCATGACTAATTGCGACTGTCACAATTGTAAAGGTAGAATGTTTGTAACAAAAACAGGGGAGTGGTTAATCTTACAGTCCAAAAACAGAGGACCCTAGGTCCATCAAGGGAGAAGAGCACAAGCAGACTGAGGGACTTTATCCAGAGAAGTAGCGATGCCAGAGACGAGGCAGAGATGGGGTCATGGATAGGGGGAGTGGCTGAGGACTCTAAATTCATGAGAAGAGAGGGACTAAGAGCTGGTGGCCATGAGGCAGACTTGCAGAATGTGCCCTTTGCAGATGTAAATTATATTTGCCTAAGTTTTTTTTTTTTTTAAAAAGAAAACGTAAAGTGAAAAGAAAGAAATACTATTAACTGATTGATGGTACATGGAGGGGATTATAATCAATGTAATGAAACAAGATGTATGATTTGTTGAATATAAAACTGATGATCTGCCTTATAATCTTTCACTCAATCCACAATAAAAGCCTTAAAAAAAAAAAAGAGTTAGGCTGTCAAATCTCAAACTGACCTAATATCATTAGCCACAACTCGCTTATTCCATGACCCTGCCTTCACCAGGAAGAAACACACGTTTGAGTTGAACACACTAGAAGTGTGGGTTAGAAGGAACCACCCCTTGATTCTGGGAACTGACCCTGCAAGAACACAAGCTGGAAAGATTACAAGGTTGCTGCAAACATGAATTGAAAAACACAAAGAATAAGGGATTCAAGCAAGGATGAG